CACACCTGTAATCCTAACACTCCAGAGGCTAAGACGGGAGGATCCCAAGAAAGAGGCCAGCCTGGGCTATAGTGAGTTTAAGGACAATCTGAACTACATTATGAAAACCTCACTCAGAAAACAAAGACATAATAAAGTAATTTTTAAAATCCTTGCATTGCCACTGTTTAAATATAAGAGGAAAAAAAAAGGCCCTTACACATGCTAAGACCTGTACCATCAAGCTATATCCTGGCCTAAGAGCATCATTTAAGCCAATAAATACAGGATAAGAATTGTTTATATTTATTTATTTATTTTCTATCTTTTATTCATTTTTTGAGACAGGGCCTCACTATGCAGCTCTGGTTGGTCTTGAGCTCACTTTGTAGCCCAGGCATGTGCCGCCACACCCAGCCAGGATAAGAATCTTTTTTTTTTTTTTTTCTTCTCAGAACCAGGGATTGAACTCAGGCCCTTGCACTTGCCAGGGAAGCGCTTATTCTACTGAGCCATCTCCCTGGCAAGGATAAGAATCTTTAGACTCCAGGGCAACACACTGGGGGCTTTCACATCTCTGGGGGCTACTTCTATCCCCATGCCCCCAGCCCTCTTCCCCATTCCTCTTCTCCAATAATGTTCCTACTTTTAAGAAAAATGTGAAAGCATCACATACAATAAGTAGACATGAGCGTACCCGTGAGGAATCTTCGATGGCCTTGTGCAGGTTCTTCAGCTGCAGGTGGCAAGCGGCCCGGTTCAGCAACAGCTCTGGGATTCTGTCATTAAGTTTCAGGGCCACACTGTACGCCTCAATCGCTGCCAAGAAGTTTTCTGTTGCAAACAGTTTGCTAAAGAAACACAAACAGACAGGGCTCTGACCAGCCGGGCTGGTTCCACCCCCCTGACCACACAGCTCAGCCGGAGTGGCCTCAGCTGTCCAGGCGGAGGAAGCTGTAGCAGCAGCAGCACACAGGTAGACCTCTCTTTCCCCTGCTGGCCACGACTGGTCAAAGCCAGCACCAGTCCAGACTCCACTGCTGACCCAGAGACGCCGTGGGAACGTGGGCAGCACGTGTGGGTGGCCCCGAGGACAGGGCGGACAGGCCCATGCTGCAGGCCACAGTGCACCATGGGCCTAGCACCTCCTAACCCCATAGCCTCCTGGGCTGTGTAAGTTCACTTATGATGTTCACACTGGGGTAAAACTGCCAGTGCCGGGCGAGGAGGCGCACTGTAACCCCAGCACTCAGAGGCTGAGGCAGGAGGACCGCCGAGGTGGAGGCCAGCCTGGGCTACAGAGCAAGACCTGGTCACCAAACCAACCAAAAACAATGCTAAAAATGCATTTCAAGGTCCGAGAAAAGCAGGAGAGCAATTCAAATCTGAATTAATGGAAGAAGGTATCAAAAACATAACAGAAATAAATGAAACTGAGACTAACAAACACAAAAGGACCAAGGAATCGAGGCGCTGAGGCGCCGGTCCTCCCAAAGGGTGGGAAGACTGAGTAGGACGGCAGCAGGGTGGGGAAGGAGAATGCGGAGGCCCCGGGCGCGCACCGCACAGCTCCGCCTGGGAAGGGGTCCTGAGTGTCTGGGTGCACAGTGAGGAAAGGAGTGAGGTGGTTCTCGCCCAGGAGAATGCGGGGAGGTGCTGAGCAACCCCAACCGGGGTTTCCCAGGCCCCTAGGGTGCAGCTCACCCAGCGAGCGACTCCCTTTGCACTGACACCTCTGTGTGAATTCAGGCCTGCCGCTCCAGGGGCTTTGCCACAGAGGCAAGAAGAAAACGCCTATGAAGTGCACGTAATGAGACACCAATACAGTCCAGAGCTGCCGCAGAAGTAGGAGCTCAAACTGCTACTCAGAATGCGACAGAATTCAGTTTCCCATAACTGTATTAAACTATTCACACCCGGCCAGGGAGATGGCTCAGAAGACCTCAGTTCAATCCCCAGTACCCCAAGAGAATAAAAAAATAAATAAAACATTCACACCAAAGTTGGCGCAGTGCTGCAGACGTGTAATCCCAGCACTCAGGAGGCTCTGGAGGTTCAGTGAGTGTGAAGCCAACCTGGGCTGCAGGGCAAGTCTGTCTCAAATAAATGAACAAACAAAATTAAAAAAAAAAATCACAGGCCAATAAATAAATAAAATTACACCTTGGATATAAAAAAGATAGTTTATGAAATACTTGACAACCTTTTAAAATAGATATGAATCATAAATATGTGGTGTTAAAAACACGTTTCTAAGGGGCAGGAAGTGATACAGGAAGAACAACTGATCTCGCAACCTAAAAGGTACCTGCACGAGTTCGTGTTCTCTAAAACCAAAGAATGAATTTTAGGAACAAATGGTGGTGGAGGTGGGTCTAAGGTGGTGGAGAAGACTTGGGAGCTCGCTTAGGTGGGCATGAGGTGGGACAAAACTGTGGTCAACCAGTGAGGTTACAAGTACAGCTGCTCAGGTAAAATTGATTAAATCGGAATCAAATGGGAAAGCGAGTCATGCAGCAAGTGGGCATGCATACGGGACAGGGTCTCCTCCTGTTGGGGACTGGGCTAGTGACTCACTTGGGCTCTTTCAAGGTGATTGATACCTATTTAGAATATCAGTCCCTGACGCCCCTCCCAAGGGAAGTATGTGGCTGTATGTTTCCTCTTTTGTCTTGGTCTTGAGGTGTGGCCCATGTGGGAGTGACTGTCTCTTCCAAGTGGTAAAGTCACCTTGTCTTCCATCCTGTCTCCTTGAAGGCCTGGCCCTGTCTGACTGCCTGTAATATTTCTAACTGGCTGCCTGTAACAGAAGGATTTATGTTAAACACAAAAGTGATTTTAAAGGCTGGCAAGATAGCTCAGCGGTCTAGCACCTGCTTAGGCAAGCCTAGACAAACTTTGACAAACTTAGGCAAAGCATGCAGGGACATCAGTTCATTCTGTCACCACATGCCATGCCAGCCCCGCCCTCAGGGTAGGCTAAGCCAGCCACATACACACACAAAAAAGTGATTTTAAAAAAGATGTTAAAGGCTGGCCAAATAGCTCAGCAGATTAAAGCGCCTGCTTAGGCAGGATGCAGCAGAGGCCAGGGCTCAGACAGCAACTGGACTGGCTGTGATGTCTCAAGACGCTTGTACCTATAATCCCATCGCTTTGAAAGGCTGAACACAGGAGGATCACTAAGAGTCTGATCTATGTGGTGAGATCCTGTAGACCCTTATTAAAAAATACAAATAAATAAATTAAAGTAAATTAAAAAAAATTTAATGAGCATGTTGGACATTATGATAGTTTTTATTTTTATGACATTTCAGCACACAAGTGAGCACTGCACTTGGCTGTTCTACTCTTGGCCTTTCAGGATGGAAGCCCTGCTGCCTGCCGGGTGCGTGCAGGCCCCACCACCAACAATGCCCTGCGCACAACCACATTTCCCAAACCCGCAGGAGTACGTCCGTACTGATGTCTGCAACAGGCCCAGCCTGCTGGGCCGTAGTTCAGATAACTTACTTTCCTTTTTCCTTCAACCACTCTGGATTCTTTTCTTCTTCTTTTAAATCGAAAAATTCAGGCACATAGGTGTTCATGGCTCTTCGAGCCTGGGCCTGCTTGTGCAGCCACTGAAATGAGGTTGGAGATTTAGGAAGGACATGTCTTGGGGCCGGGGAGACAGCTCAGTAGAATAAGCGCTTGCCTGGCAAGTACAAGGGCCTGAGTTCAATCCCTGGTTTTACACACAAAAAAAAAGTTCAAGAAAGACACCATCTTAGTTCATTTAGTGTAGTTCTAATAAAATCCCAAGCCTGGAGCCTGTGGGATTCTGCAGTCCAGGCTGGCCTTGAACACACTATGTAGCCCAGGCTGCCCTCAAGCTCAATGGTCCTTCTACCTCCTGATTACATCTTAATCCTGGGATTACAGATGTGCTCCACAATGCCCAGCTCCCATCCTGTTTATAAATATATTACAGAAAATGACATATCTGATAAAATAAATGTTACGTGCAATAGTTTATGTCTTTGAATAAGCAAAGATATTTCATATTAAACCAGTGTTCTCTCTACAGTATTCTGAGCCAGCCTTGAGTGGTGGCGCTCACCTGTCAGCCAAGCACTTGGGAGTCTGAGGCACGAGGATCACTGTGAGCAAGAGGCCAGCCTAAAGGGCATAGTGAGACTCTACATCCCCCCGCAAAAAGAAATCATATTCTGAGCCAAGAAACCTAGAAAATGCATTTTCTCATGAGAAAATAACAAACATATCCACCAGGCAGGATCTCTGGTGGAATGAACGCTTCACTTTGAAGCCCTGTCCATCCTGAGAGGTGGGGCTCGCCCTGGCCAGCAGCCTTACCTCCTCCTCCTGGGCTGCCTGGGACTCGCGCAGTGCTGTGGGGAAGGCGCGCGGGGTGAAGCTGACAGCAATGCTCCGGGCCGATCGGGGCGCAGGCACTTGCTCCTTCTCCAGCGGCACAGCAAATATGCTTCCCAGGTCTCTGCCTTTGAAAGCGCAGCAGCAGTGAGTCTGGTAGCTCGTGTGTTCTAGTTAACAAACTGACTTTAAAGCATTCTCTTATGCAACGAGCAATGTAAGATTCATCACTGATAATATGGGGGATAATCTCATTTTTCATGAGCATGACAACATTTATTGGCTGTTTTAGTAAAGACATTCATCTCTGTTGATTTCCTCTCCTCATTTTGACCTTACTTTTGAGACAAGAAAAGAATACGGGGCTGGGTGTCATGGTGCACACTTGTAATCCAAACACCATTTCTCCGGAGGATAGCAGAAAGTTTGAGGTCAGCCTGTGGTAACAGTTTCAAGACTAGCCTGAACTACCTGGTGAGCCCCTGTCTAAGAAACAAAAAGAACATGTAAAAGAGGAATTTTGGGGGGAAGGGGCGTCCCTGGCAGGAGCTAGGCTTTGCCACTGTCAGAAGAAGGCTGCAGCAGACAGCAAGGAGCATGCAGCCTCCTCAGCGCATGGATAGGAGGAACACGAAGCCACAGGGAGACAAGGAGCTAATACTCTGCAGGAATAAAACTTTACAGAACCCAGACAGCAACAAAAGAGAGTCCCTACCAAAGTACCAAAAATACTGCACACAAACCTAAAGACAAATATCAGAACTGGGAAAAGTTTTGCTTTTGGAAAAGTTTTCCCAAGAAATAGGACAGAACAATGTCCATGGCAAAAAATGAATACATAAAATTAAAAATCTGCCATTTAGAAAACTAGAAAAAAGTGTAGCACATGCCAATAATCCAAGCACTTTTAGAGGCTGAAGCAAGAAGACTGAAAATTTGAGTCTCATCTGGGCAATCCTGCAATTTAGTGAAACTGTCTCAAAATAAAAAATTAAAAAAGGCTGGAATTAGCTCAGTGCCAAGGCCCTGAGTTCAATCCCCACTCCCACAAAAATTACAGTTCTTTAACATAAAAAAGAAAAACAAAAAAAGAAAATCTCAATAACAAATAACTTCTTTCTTTAAATTTGTTTAGGACAGGGTCTACATGGACTCGCTATGTAGATTGGACTCCTAGTGATTCTCCTGTTTTCAGCCTCCCAAATGCTGCGATTATAGGTGCGTGCCACCATGCCCAGTCCTAATCACTATCTCAACATGCCCCAGGGGCAGGGCCCGCACAGCAGGCCTAGGAAAATAACTTCTAAAAATTAAACAGATTTCCATAAAAAAATTTCAGACTTGGACAATTTTAAAGGCAGTTTTACTAAATTTTCAAGCAATATGTATTTCAAAATTATTTCAAAAAATAGCAAAAACAAACAAACAAAAAACCTAGCTCATCATCTTTGGTGCTAGTGAGGTTTGGTATCAACTCTGTACATGGACAGTAGGAAAAAGACAAGAATCAATAAATATTAATGTGTGGAGAGGGTGGGGAAGATATCTCAGTGGCTTAAGTGCCTGCCTGGCAAGCACAAGGTCCTGAGTTCGATTCCCCAACTATTAAAAAAATGTAGATAAATATGGATTTTTTTTGGCGGGGGCTGGCTCTGAATGCCTTCAGGGCAGGTTTGAGTCCTGGGGATCAAACCACAGCAACCTGAGGCTGACTGCTTTGTTGAAACAGCCACTTAAAGAACTGAGGTAAGGGGCAGGCCCCCTAAATTTTTTTTTTTTTTTTTTTCTTTTCAGAACCAGGGATTGAACTCAGGCCCCTGTGCTTGCCAGGCAAGTGCTTACTCCACTGAGCCATCCCTCCAGCCCTATAAATATGAAGTTCATTTATAAAATATTAACAAATTGAATTCAGCTTTATACAAACCAACATGACAACCTTTTTTTTTTTTTTTTTTAGGGGCTGGGGAGATGGCTCAGTAGAATAAGTGCTTGCCTGGCAAGCACAAGAGCCTGAGTTCAATCCCCAGTTCCACAAGAAAAAAGAAAGAAAAATACTATCAACCCTTTTTTTTTTTTGGTATTTTAGGGTCTACAGGGTATTCAGGGTCTCACTACTAGATTGGATTCACAGTAATCTGCCTGTTTACAGCCTCCCAAGAGCCGGGATTACAGGCGTGCGCCAGCACGCCCAGCAACATGACAAATTTGATGGAAATTGTAAAAGTGAACTAATAGTCTGATAACATATTAGGACAAAATATGATCAGTCAGCCCACCACATGGCTGAAGCTAGAGTCAGTCAGCCACAATCTGCCTCACCCAGCTGCAAACCAGAGACAGCCTGAAAGAGCTCAGCGTGACAGTAGCTGGCTGCACACCCTGTGCTTTCTAGCCACGAGCATATCCTGTTTGCTAACTTGTTTCAAGGACTTTCTGCCCACAACAAAAGATGATCACTGACACTACCCAATAAGAATTCATCTACGTACGGATGAACGTCCATCTGTGTCTGTGCATTCAGAGTGGTTAGGATAGATGTATAGTTACGTTCTCTTAAGGAATAGAGGGATTTGTTCTAAAGGTGTTTGTAAATAGGATATCATGTCTGCATCTTGTACAGCAATTAACCACTCGGAAGAGAGCATGCAATGTGTTAATTATTGAAACTGTCCTACAAATTTGATTTGAAACTGTCTCATAGCTATTTATTTCTCAACAAAAGTATGGAAAAAAAGAATTCATCATGTTTTAAAGCTACTGTACTTCCTGCTTGTAAAATGTATGTAAGCCAATCCCAAAGCCAACCCAGAGCTCACGCTTTAGAAGTGATCCCCCTCAGCCTGCTGGCATAGTAAAGTTGCTTGCCTTCCTACTCGTTGGTACTGAGTGTCTTCTATGCTATACAGCTTGTTTCTGAATTCTGCAACTCAAGAGCAGTTATAACAAGTAGAGATACAAGAATGGTTCTGTAAGAAAAATCTGTAAATGCCGTCTACCAAACCCACTAAAAGAGGGCAGGCACTTTGGCAGGACCGCATGTATGCAGCCAGAGTGGCCAACTTAGCAACTGTGAATCCTTGCCTTAAAAAAAAAAATCAACAGAAAAGGTAGGGGCGTGGCTCACTTCCCTGTAAGGCAAAAACACCAGAGGTAAAATAATTACAGCAAATGCCCAGGGTGACCTGCAGGACTCACTCACCACCCAGAGCACCATTCACACGCTCTGAGCTGGCTGGGCAGACCTCCCCACATGCGCCCGGCCCATCCTTCCTCTGTGCCCTGCCATCTGAGCGCCCCAGCTGACCTCTCCTCCACAAGAGCCCAAGGAGAGCCAGAACAGGGAAACATATGCCTGGTGTGCACAAGGCCCTGGGCACCAGCCCAGCCGCCAAAACAGATCAGAGAACCTGGCTGGCCTTTTCTGACAGCACGAACCGGAACTGGACTTGGTGCTTAGGCCAAGGGTGTTGGTGCTCGGCTGTGACCCTGGCACTGCCAAGGTTGGGGACAGGCAGTGTGAGTCCAGCTGGAGCCACTTAGTTCAGGCCAGCCTGAACTTCTAGCCAGATAATAATAATAATAATAATAATAATAATGATATGAAAGAACAAAACATGTGCTTACAATAAATCTTAGCATCTACTATAGTAGACATGAGGAGCTCTTTCAGTATAGAAATGCATTTATTTAAATTACAGGAATATGCCAAGCATAGTGGTACGTGCCTATAAATCCAGCATTCGGAAGGCTGAGGCAGGTTATAGCACGTTGGAAATCAGCCTGGGCTTCAGAGTGAACTAAAGGACAGCCGAACTATGAACTACAAAGCAAGCCCCTATCTCAAAAACTCAAAATAAAGAAAATTTAGAAATTATTTATTTATTTATCTATTTTGGCCTTTTTGGGACAGGGTCTTGCTATGTCACACGGGCTGGCTTGGAGCTCACTATGTGGACCAAACTGACCTAACTCACAGCATTCCCCAGGATTATAGGAGAGTGCCTTCACTACCGAGCTTTGTTTTGGCGGAACTACGGATTGAACTCAGGCCCTCGCACTTGCCAGGGAAGCGGTTATTCCCCTGAGCCATCTCCCCGGACCCCGAGCTAGGAATTTCAAAAATTCCTAATGACTTTCTCCTTTCATCTTCCTAAATTTTTTTAGACAAGGTCTTGCTATGTAGTTCAGGCTGGCCTTGAACTCGTTGTGCAGCCCAGGCTGGCCCTGAACTCACAACAACCCTCCTGCCCCAGCCCCTAGAGTGCTGGGATTCCAGGTGTGCACTTCCACACCTGGCTAGGGTTAGTTTTATGAGCTTGGTGCAGCAGCCTGTCCTGAGTGGCTGCACTGGTGACCATTCACATGAAAGGGGCACCTAAGGGACAGTCTGAGGGCACGAGGCACCTCCGATGAAGAGGCGCTTCAGCCTGACAGCCAGGGGCATGAAGGAGACCTCACTGTGAGGCAGAGGGCTTCCACCTGACACCAGCATCCCCACGGATGAATGAACACCCTGGAGGGGCTGAGCAGGGGCTTTTTCTCCCATCCAGATCAAAGGCTTCACCTGACCGCAGCTTTCTATATTTTTTTCCCTCTTGTCTTTATTTCTCCATCCTCTCATCACTCCTCCCCTCCCTCCAGCATCAAAAGCTGTGGGCTGCAGTGTTGGCTGCATAAATGTTTGTAATTATCTCTTCCTATTCCTACTGAAGTCTTCTCTTAACCAGTGTGCAGTGAGTCCTAGCTTGGCTTCAAGTTCATTTGACCTGAAAACAAGACAGCGCCTCATGCTCGGCTCTGTCGGAGTTCACATTACCCAGAACCCTGATTTCCATGCTTTGATTCTCCTCCCCACACACTGGGGATCAAACTTGGGACTCTGCACTTGTCAGGCAGGCGTTTATGCCGCTGAGCTATCTCCCCAGCCCTGATCCTTTGATTTTTCACCAGTGAAATTTTGTTTTGGAGTAAATATGTTTCTGTTACGCAGCACGGTGCCGGGGTTGCTATGGAAAGGCACTGAGCTGTTCCTGTCACTGCAGTCTTTCCGGGTGCAGATTTTCTTTTTCCCCCTTTTGCTTAACTGCTCACCTTGCCTGGAACATTCATGGGCTAGATTTTCTGGCAT